AGTCTACGTAATAACAAAAGTTTTAAAAAACATAAAAGCCCGCCTTCTTCGATAGCCCAAGCCCCAATGTACAAATACCTGTCATCCAAAAAAAGATTATTAGTTATATTCAAGCCCAAACCCAATTCTTCATTCAAGCCCAAACCAAATTCTTCCTATGCTTTTTTCCCTCTTTTTCGGCGAAGGACCCTCTCTATACTCCTCAAACATTTTACCTCAAGTCAACATGCAGCTCCTACTGAATAAATTTATCTTTCATAATATTCTTTAATAATTAGGTATTTTTAATTAAAATAAATTCTTAATTTTAATTGCCAAAAATAATCTATTTTTTATTTTTTTAAATTTCATGAATAATTGGGTTTTTGTCTGTTCAAGCACATTTTGTAATAATTTTTTAGCTTTTTTTCTTTTTCGTTTAAAACTTTTTTTCTTTACTCTCTTTAATAAAATTTCTCCATGTGAAACATTTTAAAAAATAAAAAGAAATTTTTTGTTTGTAAAAAATTTTTTATTTTACTTTTTTAGGGAAAAATAATTAAAAAACAAAAAACATAAACTAATTTAATGTAAAAGGAAAACTATAAGTGAGACATAATTTATACTATTTGGGTGGGAGTACTTTGGTACTGCGTGAAAAAAACGCTGATTGAAAATCATCTTGCTTACTAACTTACTCTCTGATCCCCATTAACTTATCAACTTTAGATATACATGCCAATTGCCAACTTATATGTTGGTGGGAAGCATAATACTTCCGCACAATATGAGTGCTTTTTATCTTAGCTCAATCACATGTCCATATATGTACATTTTCAATAATTCAATATTATAATTTTCCTAGAACATAAAACAAAAATTAAAAATTATTGTTACATTTTTAAAAAAATTGAGACAAATCTCTTTGATGAGTGTACAGTGTACTCTTATATTTTTGAAAACATAAATGCTAAAATTAAAATAAAAAAATAAATTTATCTAAAATAATCCAAACTTTTATTTATTTGCGAAAAATTGATATTTTTCAAAATTTCCATTAAGTGGTCATTACTTTTTAATGATGACCCAAAACTCGCACTCATGCAGAAAAGTGATAATAATTCGGGTGACAGTAAAAAGTGACATTATTTTTTAAAAACGTGAAAATGTCATATTATTTAAGATAATTTTTTCTTATTACAATTCCAAGCTTGACTGAGACGATATATTTATTATCATGTTGTGATTTGTTCCCGGATTTGATTTCTTCTCTTGAGAATTTGTATGATTCATTAAGGGCATGTTCTTTAGGACTGTAAAAAAGGAGCTGGATGTTGGAAGAAACTGGAAAAAACTGGAAGGAACTGGAAGGAACTGGAAAAACTTCAAATATTGAAAAACCTAAAAAAACTTTAAAAATATTTATTTTAAATTCTTGTTGTTATAAATTATTATTATTATCATCATCATCATCATCATCATCATAATCATCATCACGTTATCTTAGTCAATGTTTTTAAGATATAAAAAAAGTATTGTTATTTTTTAAATACAAAAAACTACTTTTGCAAAGAATAATTATAATATAAAGTTAGCATAAGTATAAAAATATTAAATTTTAAGAAGTCTTTGTAGTTATATTGCACCTAAATTTATTTATGCAGTATTTATTATAAATAATATATTTGTAATTATAATTTATATATTAAAAAATTTTGTTTTAAATATCATACATGTCACATAATCAAACCTATTGTTTCTTTCATGATTGACATTTTATTTTCATTGAATTCCTATTTTTGGAATAAAAACATAGAACTTTTTTGTTTACATTTTTTATGTTTTACTCATATTTTAGTCTTTTTCTCTAAGCTCTTTTAACTTACATTTTTTTTTATAAAAATTAGAAAAATGAGCAATTTTTAAGTAATAAAGGGAAAACTGAGATGTCTTATAAAAAGTTATATTAATAAAACATTCAATGTAATTATTTTATCCATAATTTTTTTAGTATAATTTAACATATTGATGTTTTCCTATTTTATCATGTAGACTAATATACAAAAAAATGTCTTATTCATATTAAAAAGTTGAAAAAAAATAATAAGTGTAAATCGTAAAAATAGTGAGATGAAAAAAATAATTTATAAACTATAGTTATGAATATAACAATTGTAATAGTAATAATAATAATAATAATAATCACATTAAAATATATCATTTTTAAAGTAATTGGTTGAGGAGTAGAAAGAAATTGAAGAAAATGAGAAAAGTTGGAAGAAACTGGAAGAAATTAGAAGAAACTGGAAGTAACTAGAGGAAACTGGAAGGAACTGGAAGAAACTGGAAGAAACTAGAAGGAACTGAAAGAAACTGGAAGTTAAGAGTTCAAGCCTTAAAGAACATGTCCTAAGTTAAGATCTAAGGTTTATAAAAATTCTCATTTCTTGCAAAAAAGATTATTCTCACACGAACCATAATAGTATGTATACTCCTGGTTACATTGATAAACTAATTAATGACCACTTTTACCCTTATTTTTTCATACCCTACCTATCATATCATACTTTTTCTCTAATAATCTATCCATCACATCTTACTTTTACCCATCACATCAAGGGCAAAATTGAAAATCAACTACTCTCTCCGTCCACCTAAGATGTTCTCATTTTGACTTTTTATGGATTTTAAGGAGAGTTGAAAAAAAGTGCATGAAAGTTTACTATAATATCCTTAATGAAAATGGGTGGAGTGTATTAAATGAGGTGGGTGAGGGGTAATAAATAAAGTAAGTGGGGGTAGTTGTGGTATTTTAATTGTTAAAAAATGAAATGAGAAGATCTATTGTGGACAAAGAAAAAGGGCTATTAGGAAGATATATGGGGGACGGAGAGAGTATAATTTAACACTTCTTTATTTTTGCCCTCAAATCAAAATGAGAAGTCTTTTTGCAAACGGAGGGAGTATTATAGATACGCGGTGCCCTAGTTATACTCAAATCAGCTGGTTTCTTTTCCTAATTGTCGTTCTAGTCTGAGTCTTTTTGGTAACTTTGACCCCTGCAAGTTGTGATAAAGTATATTTAGTAAAACGAAACGGTTCTTTTGATTTTAGGTTCTCATATTATGTTATAATCTAAAATCCTTACGGTGTTTCGTTCAAAAAACTGGTTCCTAACCTCACTAAACCCTACCTCGAGTCCCTTAGTGCCTTACGTGTCCACCCCACCCCATCCCAACACCCCCTGCCAATGTTGGACTTTCAATGGTCCGAGCGGGGTCAAGTGCACCCACTAAACTTTTTTCTCTAATGCTAGCTAAAATATCACATTCATGCACTCCTAGTTTACACTCCTATACCTCTTAGTATATTAGGGTGAGTTCACACTGTTAGCCACATACTCCCTCCGTTTCTCAAAAGAGTTCCTCTTTTGACTTTGGGTGAAAATAAGGAAGTGTTAAATTGTAGTTGGCTTTCCAATTTTGCCCTTGATGTGATAGGTAAAAGTAAGATGTGATAGTTTAGTTGTTAGTGAAAAAGTATGATGTGATAGGTAGGGTATGAAAAAGTAGGGGTAAAAGTGGTTTTTTAATAGAAAATGGATCAAAAGTGTTTTAAGAAAAACAAAAATAAAATGAAAGAAGAAGGGTTTTAAGAAATGTAGGGAGTATATATACTACCGAGTATCATAGAGTATCTACTTTTTTTGCTCAAGGTACTGTCTTAGTTTTTCAACAGAGTAGCTTTTGTTTATGGGAAATTTAGGTAAATAACATTAAAATATAATGACTTTTCCTAAATAGATCACATGTGTTTTTTTTCAATGTAGTATTTTTAGTCATTATCCATCAATCATTATTCAAGGAATAAATTTTTGGCATCACTGGACATTATGGACATTATTTAGTGCTATTTAGGGAATAAAACAATTGAAGTTCTATTTAGGAAAATGACTTAAGTTTTAGTTCTATTTAGTGCAAGTATTTCTTTGTTTATTTAGGTGTTTTGATTGATTATTTGATAAAATAAAATATTCTCATTACTTCTTGTTTTGTAGAACTTTTAACTTAATTTTTAAATACTGTAAGTCTTATTTTTTAATTTCTATCCCAATCTTCGAAAAATGAATTTTAAAAAAATTGAAATTTTGTTTCATTTTACATAAAATGCAAAATATTTTGGAATGGAAAGAGTAGATATTATGTTCCAACATATATATAAACAATGAAACCACTGTCACAAAACTCTAGGTCCGCCACAGCCTCCGGTCTTCTGCCCCTCCTATTCACCGATTGAATTGGTACAATAATTGCTGCAGCCAATCGGCGAATGGGGGAGGGGGCAAGGGGTGGGGTGGCCAGGTAGGGGCAAGGGGTAAAATTTGGGGGGTGGGGTTAGGGGGGTAGAAAATGACACTTTTTGGATTTTCTCTGCTTGGAATATTAGGTTTGGGCTGCTGATTTGTTTAGGTGCTATAGTGGAAAAGCACGCCGTTGAAATATACACCGTTGGTTTAAAATATTTGATTAATATTATTTTTAATTTAGTTTACTATTATTTAAAAAAAACAAAGTTTTCTGCCATGGTCCCAAATATATCAATTTGGTGTATCAATACAAAAATCAGCTAAAACAATAAAAAAAGAAATATTTGAAACAATATAGTAATAAAAATTATTTTGAAAATATATCAATTTGGTGAAAATTTATTAATTTCTTAAAAATCCGGACACACTACTGATCTTTATACTCCTTGTCTTCCAATATATAATTCCATAGTTAATCGACCGGTCACAGAGATTAACAAAAAGATTGTACTGTAAAATGTGGTGTAGAGCCATTTATGAAAGTGATTGAAGAACGTTTACTTAATTATTACTTTGGTACGGAAGGGTTAATTATTAAATTATATTATTATTTAAATTATTAGTTATTTAATTATTATTAATATATTTGTATTTACTTTTTATTATTAAGTGCAATTATAACACTCCCTTCTGATCCGGAGAAAATTAATTAATACTCCGTAAATGGCTTTTAATTACATAAATAAAGTAAACAAAGTTGATAAACTACATAACATGTGAAAATGAAAAAGAAACTAAGAAGAAAAACAGTATGCTCTCCATTGCAGACAACACCGATGCATTAGAGGCAGTAGTATTGGCTTCTTTTGATATACCTGAGAATTGATGAAGAAATAAAACACTAATTAAATTGATTTTTGTGAAAATATATCTAGAAATAAAACACCAATTAAATTGAATTGATTTGTAACACTCAGTACACGTTACTTACAGTTAGACGGTTTCCATCCGAGAATTGATCTTTCTCGATCAAAAATAATACGGTAACCCGTTAAATAGTTATCTACAGAAAAAAATTAAAACACAAATACTCTTTAAGTAATCACTAGTACAAATAACTAATCTCAACCATTGTTACTCATATAATCGTTGTCAATTAAATAATATAATTATCTCATCAGGATATATACTTACGTCCTATAATATTTAGGGTGTTTATTTTGTTATTCACAATGGCTAGGCAATACACCTGTTCGCGCATACACAACCAAAACGGATAAAAATTAGTTATATTGTTAATTAGTAGTAAAGCTAGTTAATTAATACGGAGTAATTAATTAATTAAGATAATCAATAATTAAGTTTTTTTTGAATGACAGTAATAATTAAATAAAGGAATTGAAACCATACTTGTTGGGGTATTTTTATTGAAAACATGGGACTCATGACTGAGAAATTAGCACCTCCTTTGGTATTGAAAATCAACGATGGAATTCCAAAGGAGGCATTATTACCGGTCCTGCAATAATATAGTTATCAATTAATGAAGAGAAATAAACAAATTAGTTAAACGAGTCTTAATTAATCTATATATATAATTAATTACTCACCCTGGAATGTAACAATATTCAAAAAAAGGATGTACGAGTTCAATGCGCTGCTGGTCCTTCACAAGAGAAACAAACTGCACATATATGAATTAGTAGTATTTAGTAGCGCAGGCTGCGCAGCCTAATTAATTAATTAGTAAAAATTAGATAGTGTCATAATAATATAATTAAAAGTACTCACAGCTTTTGTGACCACGGCATAGGCTTCTCCGGCCAAGTAGGTGAGACTGGTGCCGGAGTCGAACATCGCTTCGAACCCAACATCAGTCACTACATCGTTCACGTAGATTCGATCTACGCGTACGTACTGTGCACTGCATCCATGCATCCAATTTTAAACATTTATAAGTTGATTAATTAAAAACAAGAAAGAGTACGTACAATCGCAACAAATTAAGCGTAATTAATTTATTAAGTGCTACGTCGATAAGTAAAACAGAAAATTATTATTAATGAAATCTTAATTAATTAATTAGCACCTTGCGCGTGCATCCACCAATGGCGTAACCCTCTGGTCGGCATCCCCTTTGTCCCCAAAGGCAATCCGGCCATTCCCGTCGGGTGCAAAGCACATCGAGAATGAGTTTCGGATCAACCCTTGGGACGACAAGAGGGTCGTCACATCCAAAGATGTGTGCCCCAGACCGAGTAGCCCATTCAGATCTCCCCTGCCCAGAAAAAGCCCCGTCTCTACTTCTCCGCACCTATAAATTAAGAAAAAAGTAGGAACATATATACAACAGATCTTAATAATTAATAACCAAACAAACATATACGTTTCAACATTATATATATAACTTTCTATACATTATAAAAAAGAAATATAAAAAAACAATTTTATATATATACTCTCTCCGTCCCATGAAACATTTCTCCTTTCTTTTTTTATCCGTCCCACAAAACACTTCTCATTTCTATTAAAAAGTCACTTTTACCCTTACTTTTTTATACTCTACCTATCAAATCATACCTTTTTACTAATAATCTATCCATCAAATCATACTTTTTTACCCATCACATCAAAGGACAGTTTTGGAAATTCAATACCAAAATACACTCCCCTTAAATCCCTCCTAAAAAGCAAAAGTCCCATGTTTCATGGGACGGAGGAAGTATATATATATATATATATATATATATATATATATAGGTAGAGATTGGTTTTTATGTACCCGAAAACCACCGGGGGGTGAATTTTGGTGGCATTATGGTTTGTGTAGGTTTCCAGGTGCATTAGATCCTGGACGAGAAAGCCCCGGGACAACGTGTTCTCGAACATGTAGTTGATCTCATAAGGGCATGGCGGCGGGGTGGGTGCTGCTGGGAGGGGGCATGGCTCGCTGCAATATGAACTATTGCAGAGGAGAACCTCACTCGTGGATGATGAACCCGGTTCGTACGAGTTGAGGTTCACTATCTGCACGTACGGTTTTGGAAAACAATTAATAATTAAGCACACAATATAATATAATTATTAATTAATAACTTAGTATATGTATAGTATGTATGCCTTTCCCCTTAATAACTTAGTATATGTATAGTATGTATGCCTTTCCCCTTGAAGTCATGAAGTAACTCGAACAATTTTGGCAGCGACATGGCAACCAAAACACGTCACTCCCGGTGTCAAGAGCCACCAGAAATGGCACCGGAGGAGTCCCAACGTATATATGGGCATATTGAAGGCTGAAACATAAATAATTTATATATCTCCCTTAATTATATACTCCATAAATGCAAGCATAAGAAATTTATTTATAAATCCGTATGTGCGTTTATGAATGCATCATACGGCCGGGTACCAACTTACTATCCCAGACGCTCTATAAATTTGGTGTCATCTCCTCCGGCAAATGTGTATGCCGGCAAGTCTCTAGCGGCCGCCGGCGGAGAGAGTTGCCGGTGGCGGTGTTGATCGAGAGCCGCCCGGGCGGAGTAGTATTCCGCCGAATCCTTTGGTGGCAGGCCGCCGCCAGTGCCTAAGACCCGCACGACCTCCTCGGAATGGCGATGATAGACATTAAAATGCTGAGCTGGTAGTGATGCGGCGATTGCATGATGAGTTAAAGAGATTAGAAGAAGAAGAAGAAGAAGAAGAAGAAGGAGGAGGAGGTTGATGAGGATAATGAAAACCATGGTGCTGGGTTTAGAAGACAGACGCTAGTAGAGGATCGGATATAACTCAAGTACGTAAAAGAAGATAGAATAAGGAAATTGGTGAGATGAAGGAGGAGGAGCTGAGTGTCGGATACATTTATACTAAGCGAGAAAATTAATTCGGAATTGATGCAGCTCAGGGAGTAATACTTTAATTTTTGGACAAATTGGTAGAGCTTTTGACCATGCATGCACACCTTTATTTTTACTTTTACTCTTGCATATACACACACACACACACTCGGAGAAGCATTCATAATTGAAGTATATAGGTTAAATATTTTTATTACTCTCTGATTGATATAGATAGTTAATTATACGGAGTAATATTTTAATTAGTTATATTACTCCCTCCCTCCGTCCGCCTAAGATGTTCTCATTTTAACTTTTGGTGGTTTTTAAGGAGAGTTGAAAAAAGGTGAAAGTTTACCATAATACCCTTAATGAAAAATGGGTAGAGTGTATTAAATGAGGTGAGTGAGGTGTAATAAATAAAGTAAGTGGGGGTAGTTGTGGTATTTTACTTGTTAAAAAATGAAATGAGAAAATCTATTGTGGACAAAGAAAAAGGGCTATTGGGAAGATCTATGGTGGACAGAGGGAGTATTATTTAGTAGTTATTTATTATTATTATTATTATTATTATTATTGATTTAGGGTTTTAGTATGTGTCCTAGCCCATTAGGTCAATTAGGGTTTTTTGTTTCCTTTCATTATTATTATTAATCAATCAATAATCAAGAATTATCTTAATCTCGTTCTCTTTCCACTAGAGCCCGGAAATGCTCGAAGTTTTCCACCCTTCTTTACCTCTTCTTCTTGGAGCTTGAAGAGCGCTCGAAGTTCTTCCCTATCCGATACGATATTCGTATCACTGATCCCCATCAACTTACTAACTTTAGATGTACATGTCAATTGCCAAGTTATATGTTGGTGGCAAGCATAATACTTCGGCACAATGTGAGTGCTTTTTATCTTAGCTCAACCACATGTCCATATATGTATATAAAGTCTTTAATTTGGTGGGGAATTCTTTTAATTAAGAGCATGTTATTAGTCCCATATTAAGGAAAAAAAGTTGGAATAAGTAGGTACAACCTCACAAATAAAAGATTCCATGCTTCATAATTTACAATTTACTACAAGTAAAAGTTTTCGCATACATAACACTCCCTCTCTCGTGCTAATAACAAAGAAATTGAAATGGTAGAACAAAATTAAATTAAATTGAAAGAAACTTGAAATATTTGAAAAAAAGTTGAAATATGTTTTTCTCTCTTTTATTTTTGTGGATGTCCATTATATTGTTAATAATTTGGCCTGCTGGTACGTATTACCAATTGTTAAGCTTTTACTCGTAAGTTTTAACCATACAAATGCATTTGGATCATGGTGTGATACCAGTTATTATTGGATACGAAAAACTTCAAGCGTTTTTAAATTCTAGAAATTGAAAGAGATTATTGAAGTAGAAGAAGGATTATCACGGAGGCTTCGGCTCTACATTCTCAGATCAAAGACGTGATGGGAAACATGGGGGCAATGTCTAGCAGATAAGAGCATAAGAGACTTTAGGGTTTAAGATTTGTTTATTGATTGATTATTTTGGAAGGGATTACATCTCTATATATTTATATGGGATGGAGAAACCATAATCCTAGCTCTAACCCTAATATTGTCGGTTCAAAAATTACATCAAAGTAAAGAAAAAAAACTCTCGAAAAAATTTATCATTTTGCTTATCACTTAATAAAAACTACTCCGTACATTACATTAAATAATACTCCGGGGTAATAAATCATAAAGGGTCATGCTTACACCACAAATTATACCCCATTTGTACACCACAGTTATATACAAACATTTTGATGGTTTACACCGACACAAGTATTGGTGCGTTGACAAAAATTTGCACGGACACAAAGTGTTGGTGCATTAAGAAAAATTAGTTTTACACCAACACAAAGTGTTGGTGCAAAGCTGCGGGGTACAAAATGGGGTACAAAAATGTGGGGTACAAATAGCTTTATCCAATCATAAAAACTAACTACTCCGTAATAAATACTTCCTCCGTCCCAAAAAGTTTTAAACATTTTGACTAAAGTAGAAATTAAAGAAGAGATAATTTTGTGTTGACTTTCAAGAAATAACCTTGATTTGATGTGTAAATGTAGGATGTGATGTGTAGAATATAAGGAAAAAAGTGTGATGTGATAGATAGAATTTGAAAAAATAAGGGGTAAAAGTAGTTTTTTAATTGAAATGGGCAGGAGATTGTGGGACGTAATATTTTAAAAGATGTAAATCTTTTTGGGACGGAGGGAGTAGTTAGTTAATAATCTAATCTACAATCCATGTTGCATGCATTTACATACAATGATCGACTTATGTTATAGTGTTATTCGGTGTGTGTATTTTTATTTTATCAATTTACTAGCTTTAAATCTTTAATTACTATTGCATCCGTCCTAGTTACTCCGTTTCATAAAATTCTTTCCCTTTCATTTTTTTAATTCTTTAAAATACTTTCACTTTGCATTAAAAAATCACTTTTATCCCTACTTTTTTATATCATACCTTTCACATTATATACTTTTTCACTAATAATCAGACTATCACATCTTACATTCATTCATTACATCATGGACAAAATTGGAAAGTCAACCAAAATGAAACTTTCTTTATTTTTGCCCAAAGTCAAAATGGAAAGGATTTAAAGGAAGGGAGGGAGTATATTTTTCTTCCAATTTAATTTTTCATGGTTTCAATGTCATATGAGTATTTAATTTTAACTATTAATATCTCTATTTATTTATAAATATATATTATAAAAATATGATATTTCATTCAAAACTATGTTTTAATAGATTGAATCTATTGGTATTAAATCTATATTATAAGTTTATAACTCAATATATTTTCTATAATGTGTGATCAATGTTTTAAAAAAACAGACTACCAAGTTGAAGGGTTTTATGTAATTTATGGTGTAGCTTTTTAGATGCATGCCAAATTATAGTGGTGGGAAAGGCACTGCATCCACGCAATATAAATAATGTTTCTCAAACATAAATGTGATGTCTTTAACGGGGTTTTTTTAAATTAACAGCTTTTTAATAATACCATATTAAGCAAAAGATTCCATGTATGTCATCATATTAAATCCATAATATTTATATTTACACATGAATATATTTTATTAAATATTTAGTGGTGGGAAAGGTACTGCATCCACGCAATATCAATAATGTTTCTCAAACATAAATGTGATGTCTTTAACGGGGTTTTTTTAAATTAACAGCTTTTTAATAATACCATATTAAGCAAAAGATTCCATGTATGTCATCATATTAAATCCATAATATTTATATTTACACATGAATATATTTTATTAAATATTTAATATTTCAAAATACATTTTAATAAAATCTATTTATATTATATTTTTATCATGACACATTATTTTAATTTTTACATATTAAGGTCAAACTTTATATAGACGTTAAACAAAAAAATACTACTAAATGGGAAAAAATTTTCGGGCAACGAAAGTACGAAATACTCCGTAGCATTTTACGGAGTACTTTACAGAGTTTAAAAAGTATTTTAAAAATCCGGTTTAAAATTTTGTTTAAAAAATACTCCGTAAATAGAAAGTTTGTATGTACTTAGTCTACTTACTATTTGTATATTTTTTCTTTTTTTAAATATATGAAACCATTCTTTAAAACAATTACATCTGATGGATACCCGGGAATGGGGGGGTATCCAGCCCAACAGGAGAACGGCCCAGCCCAACTTCGCCAAGGCCCACTTGGCGAAACCAAGATGAAGGACCAGCGAAGGTCGCCTCGGCAAGTGTCATGCGCTCGGCTTCGGCAGAGCCGGCCACCCTCGGACCGATCCGGTCGGTCTCCCATCCGGAGACTTCCGAAGATATGTCATGCGCTCGGCCTCGGCCCCGGCCAGCTACAGATCGGATCTAGACAAGGGAGCTGAATGGAGTCAAGATCAAGGGGCCCACGATTAAACACCTGTCATGCCTCTGGCAAAGTTGCTATAGCCACCCTACTTGTAACCTACTTTGTATAGCAGTCCTAGGGTTAATTATGTGGTTGGACGCCGCCAGCGAACAACCCAATCTTGGTGGGCCCAGACCGTTGGATTACGGACCAACGGTCGGAACCCTAGCTGCAACTTGTATATAAACCTCTTCCCTTCTAAGGGAAGGGGACTTACGTTCGAACTAGTATTCCAACTAGCACATTATCAATCTCCAATTCTACTTGACCCCTTATTTTTGTGCACTCTCGACTTAGTTCGATACTCTTCCGCCTAGTTACCTAGGCCCCCGGGTTCCATAACCCAACAACATCATATACGGAGTATTAAGTAAGTTTGTAAATTGAATATTTAATTTGTGACTCTAGCATTACTCGTTAAAGTGTAATGATTTTAATTAATTTCAGGTGAAGATGCGCACGTGATTTTAATGTTATTTGGTTAATGTGGTCCAGTATTATACGGAGTATTTGTTGTACTCTGTATATTCCTAATTGTTAAAGTGTAACCACATATAAATATAGAGTAATTTACAGAAATAGGAGTAGAAGGTGCAGGTTTTCCCTATATAGGAGTTAGACCTGGCAAAAAATGACCCGACCTGTTTTTGACCCGAAACCCGACCTGAAAACATTGGGTTTTGAACAATGGTTTTGATGACCGAACCCGAAGTTGACCGAACCCGAAATGACCCGCTAAAAATGGGTCAAACTCGACCGAACCCGAACCCGACCTGACCGACCCGCTAAAGTAAGAATTTTTCAAAATCATACACTTTACTACTCGTTTTTAGTGTACAAATTTATATTTGCAGAGAAAATTTTAATGATATTGCATAATTATCTTACTTTTTTCCAAAACTTAAGCATTTTTAAATTCCTTATATTGATTTATATATCTAAAAAATTACTTCAGAGTTTAAAATAAATCAATTTTATAGATTTAATACATTTTTTTTTGATNAACTCGACCGAACCCGAACCCGACCTGACCGACCCGCTAAAGTAAGAATTTTTCAAAATCATACACTTTACTACTCGTTTTTAGTGTACAAATTTATATTTGCAGAGAAAATTTTAATGATATTGCATAATTATCTTACTTTTTTCCAAAACTTAAGCATTTTTAAATTCCTTATATTGATTTATATATCTAAAAAATTACTTCAGAGTTTAAAATAAATCAATTTTATAGATTTAATACATTTTTTTTTGATATTTTAAATTTATTTAATAGAAAATGTAAGTGGTAATGTGAATTTAAAAATTTTAAAAATCAAAGTTATAACCCGTTGGGTCGACCCGAACCCGACGATACTAGGTCATGAACATACAGTTCTCAACCCGAACCCGAATTGACCCGAACCCGAAATAACCCGAACTTGAAGTGACCGAACCCGAATCCGACCTGACCGACCGATTTGCCAGCTCTAATAGGAGTGGTCCTATTTGACCACACGTTTGTGAATAGAAAATGACTAAAATAACCTCTAATTTTAGATTCTAAACTCCACGCACGCTTGTGATCTAATTACATAGAAAAAAACGGCATGAGTTGCGGCTGGAGTTACCATTTACAACATGTTTCCTTCCCACATAGGGTTCTTAGCCATTCCTACTTTTCTGTGAAATTAGCAGACCAGGAAATTAATCAATCAGTAACAATCGACTCATTCCTGCTTGGCCGCTATGCTTCTTTACGGATGACCAGGAAATTGCGGCTGCAATTTCACTCATATCTGTGAAATTAATCAATCAACAACAATCGACTCAATGATGATTAGTCGATGAAATTCCAAAGTCGCAGACCAGGAATGAGTGAAAACCACCACAGGATATGTAAATTGATTTTTTCGTCTTTAAACGCAACATATGTGCATTTGTCTTGTAAGATCGGAACATGCATGGATGGTGTTTGTAAAAATGTCTTTGAATATAGTATTCTTTTCAAATTGAGATGTATTGTAATTGATCGGAAGATTCATGTATGATATTTGTTATAAATAGGACTAAAATATAATGACTTTCCTAATCTAGGACTTAAACTTTTTTATTCCCTAAATAAGACTTATTAATGTCTTAGTGGGAGGAATAATGTCCAGTAATAATGGACATTTACTTGAATAATGACTAATTCATAATGACCAAAAGTCCTACATTGGAAAATAAAAACATATGGTCCTATATTGGGAAAGTCATTATGTTTTAGTCTTATTTAAGTAAATTACTCTTGTTATATTGGTTGTTATGTCTTTGAGTTTAAATGTTTGCTTAAATGTCTTTGATTCTAAATATTTTGGCAATAGTGAAATTTGCACTGAATAGTATTTCATTTCTTAAATTAGGACTTAAACTTTTTTATTCCCCAAATAGGAATCAATAATGTCTTAGTGGGAAGAATAATGTCCAGTGATGGTCATTTACTTGAATAATGACTAAAAGATAATGACCAAAGATCATAGGAAATAAAAACATATGGTCCTATATTGGGAAAGTCGATCATTATATTTTAGTCCTATTTTGGTAAATTTCTCTACTTTTATATTACAATTGTTAAAAAATTAGTTAAGGCATTGTCTATAATGGGTTTGTAAAGACTTTTTAATGCGGAATAAGACATTAACAGTATGACTTTTGGCAAATAAAGGAAGGAAAGGACATTATGAGTATGAGTGTATAAACATTGTTATCACCAGAGATATGTGATCAGTATGATGGTTTTGATGTAATGATGACTATATACACACACATGGTGTAGTAAGATTAGGGTTATGTTTTCATGTAAATGTGGCTTTGACATCATTAAAACATGTTCCTTTACAACATAATTTTTAGTCATTATTTTTTGTGAAAATAGGTAGTATTATTGTGTTTTGACTTGTGTTTTGAAGGTGTGAGAGTATATGTTTTGGCCAGCATTCGGGTGCACAAGGGTAGTGATATGTTCTAATGATTTGTTTGACATGTTGGCCTTTTCATGTGTCATTTTTTTAGTAGTAGTATTATAATTTATGCACTTGGCAGATATATAAGAGGCTCTGCGATGAACGCTCACTGATTGACAAAACAAGTCTAAAGATCACATGCTTATGTAATATCTGGAAAGGGTAGAAGTGGCGAAGGAAGTGTTGAAAACTTGGGATTTGCAGAAGTTGAGAGCTAGAGTCGGCATTTGGTGATCTTTTTGAACTTGGACAGCTAAAGTGGGTTAATCGGCATTTGCTGTCAAAGACTAATTATTTTCATATTTGGAAGACAATATGAGTTTGTTAATAGATTTTTAGTATGTAACCCACTCAATGTCGTGGGGTGAGAATGTCGTAATCCTTTGTTTTGTTTCTCAGTTCAAAACTGTATTTGATGTGCTTACCTTAAAGTCTCTGTGAATGCTTGTTTTACTTAATGCCTTCTTGGATTAAAATATTGACCGATGAAGTCTTTATGAATTTTCATTAGGAGAATTTACCTAAATAGGATTAAAACGCAATGGTTTTCTCTATATAAGACCATATGTTTTTATTTCCCAATGTAGGACCATTGGTCATTATTCATTAGTCATTATTCATGTATATATTCTCTACTATCACTGGGCATTATTCCTCTAACTAGACATGATTAAGTACGTACTATTTAGAGAATAAAAAGGTTTATGTCCTACATTACAAATGACTTATGTTTTAGTCGTATTTAGTGCAAATTTAACTTTTATTAATGCATCGTTTGATGAAGCTAAGGTTTTCTTTATTAATTATTTTTGTGCATTTTCCTTTACATTTTTCAGTCATTGTTAGGCCTTTAAAGTCATTACTGTAGAGATTTAGTTCATCACTAGTAAATAATTGTTCAATGCTTTTTGCATAGAAAAATATAAACACACACAAATTGGGTCAAATTAAAAAATGAAAATATAAACAAAGAACATTAAGAAAAGACGTACTAGAATTAAGTCTTTGTAATGCAATTGGAAGACATTATGATCTTGAGTAATTCTTTCTTTACAGTGAAAAAACACTCCTTTTGTCTAGAGATTATCTTCTTGTTACATGTTACGTTGTTTAACTAAAGTTGTTTTTAGTTCACTTTTTCAAAAAATTGGTGTAAAATTTAAAAATAAAAGTATATACATAAAAATTATATCAAAGATACTACAAAACTGTGGCAAAAATGTTTTAAAAACAAGAAATGAATTATTATATTACTCCCTCTGTCCCACTCTTTTTGTCCACTTTCATTTTTGCACACCATTCAATGCACTTCTTCAATCCATTTTATCTTGTAATTTGTATATTAAAAAATTATAAAAATTATATATTAATAATCTATATGTTAAGACAAATCAAACAAGATCACACATGACTATTTTTAGACTTACACATTGAGAGAATTTGATGAGTCAAAGTGCTTAGATGAACAGTTCCAAAAGTCAAAACTGGACAAAAAGAGTGGGACGGAGGTAGTATTTTAAAAGTAATAAAAATTGGCAAAGCACAAAG